GAATACTACTTTAGACTGTTAGATATGATAACTATACTTTGGCGGTACATCATGACGCCACCACAAAAGAGCAATCGTCGCAAGAGTAGGGGTAGTGCATCGATCGCCATGGATATGCTCTTCCTTAGGCCTACTCATTGACTGAGCCATGCTCCAACAACGTAGTCGAGTACAATGCCCTTGTAATCAGCCTACAACTCGCTTAAGACATGGGCGTCACATATCTTGAAGCTGACGATGACTCCAAGCGCACTCAGTCCTTCAGAATATGAGGTCTGTATTAGCCTACGCCCTCTCGACCTCCTTAGGAGCCAGATCAGGGTGAAGATGCTTATTCGTCCTCATCGAAGGCCCTCCCGAAGTTTGAGCAGGTGGATCCCTTGGTGCCACCTCTATCTCATCCAAGCCCAGCATCAGCGTAGCTGATCGAGCTTCATTATCCACGGTTAGAGGAACTGAGGAGATGCTGACAACTCATATGACCGAGTTGTCAAAGATGTTCTCGATCCAGCGAGAACCGATGTAAGCCCTTATTATATAGAGTGAACGCTTCTCATTGCTCAATAGCAACCCAGGCCTTAGAGCATCCTTATTGATCTTGGACTAGCTGGAGCAAGCCAGCATGGAGTTGTCACCAAGCACCCACATGAACTTCTAATTCCAGTCCTTATTAGACTCATTGGAGACGATCTTGTTTCCCCCTAAGACTTGGAGGTAATAGCGGCTCTCATGTTGGTTCACCTTCACATAGATGAGGTCGCCGAGAATCCTCAAGGTCGGGTTGACTCTCAACCAGTGGCAGATAACAACGAAACCCACCAGAGTGGCGATAGTTTTCAGCTTCATTTGTGATGGAGACCCCCTAGGGCCTTAAAGACATAGCAGAGGTAAAGATGCAATGGGAAGCACATTCCATACTCCATGTGTTTGAGATACACCGGGGCAATGTTGTTGCTGTGATCGTATACATCCTGTGTATGCACTGGTGCCGTCAGGGCAAACGCCTTAGGGATGTCATATTTGCCGTACAGAGCCTCCAGCTACGATAGCAGTAATTTGGAATGAAATTTTCGTAGCTAATTAATCCAGGCGTCGTTCCTCACCGTAGAAGATGAAGACATCATTCTATCTGAAAGTTCATCAGAGAAGAAAATGTGGAGGTTGAAGTTCTTTTACAGTGAAACAGTCTAAGAATTTTTGAGAACATCAATCTCTCCCATCTAACAATGACCATACTTATAGGCAGAGAGGCCGACGGGTGGCATGATCGCAATGGCCAAATCAGTTTTGAGGCCAGGATCATTTCCAGAATACGAAGCGACCGCTCCAGGATCATAGCACCCCTCGTCAAGAGTTGAGGCAATGGTAACTCCAGATCTTCTATGACATCAACATCACATCTGAAGAGACTCTTCAACACCCCCTCATAAATGCTCTTCGGGACCCGGCCAGCTACAGTTCTATTTCACTCGGACTCAGATACCTTGAGTTCGAGTGAAAGGGGCAAGCGTTAGGACATAAATTAAACTCAGTGTTAGTCATTCCTTTGGAGTCAACATGTGCCCTAGGTCAATACTAATTAATTAAATCAGCCAGGCCCTAGCCAGGGCAACTCAGATATAAGGGGCATTCATCCCTTCCCAGATAAGGCTGAGTCGTGACAAGCTCTCACCTGACCTCATTATTTGCCTTGATCCCGCTCATTCACTCGAGGCTGGGTTGAAAACTTGCGAGGCCGATAAAAAAGGTGGTACTTGTCGTCCAGCTTGTAAAACCAGATTGAGAGGCATTTTGTACTCGAACTCTGCACCAACAGTTGATCATTATCATCATTACTTGTGCCACGAGTCCTCATGACTCATCACACTCCATACCTCTTTAATTGCCATCACATTAAATTAGTGGCGACTCACTGCATCTACAGTCGACACCTATAAGCTATTTACCGATACAGCTGTCTGCCTACACTTGACCAGAATTACGCTTCTACCCCTGTCAGATGGGTATATACATTATCTACTAAGAAGGGGATCCTCCAAGGCCCCTCTTGGGAGCACATGTACACCATTTCTGGCTAATTTTCACTATATTATTAGAACTTATTCAGTCCATTAGTTCCCCACTCAAGCTATATACTTACTTGGTCGTCGAAGGAATCACCAGAGAACCCAACTTCGGTCCTCTAACGTGCTTTATATGCAGCTCGCTTATCCTAAATGAGGGATCCTAAGGAGATGAGGGGACCTACACTATAAGCCTAGTCGCTAATTTAGGATTATCCTCTAATCTCGCTGCTGAGTGTCACATCGCCCTCCACTCATTCAAATTTGGTACCACATTCACATGGGTATGGAGTGGATGAGGATGTGACACATCACTACCAAACATAAAATTTGTGCTTGGTACCAAGTATACCCATATTTCTCTCTCTATATATATATATAACTGGGTCACGCATTGGTGGAAAGCTCGGGCCAGCCGAAATTTCTGGGCTTTTCCTAGGAGCCCGAGCTTTTGCCGGGCTTCGGCCTGCCAAAGCCTGGCAAGTCTGAACCTCGTTCTCTTCGGACACTCCTACTACGATGAAAGAGCCTTAAAACGGTCCAAGATCGAACGAATGTTGAATTAACAAGGAGGAATATCGAAATCAAATCTCTCCCTTACAATATGGCGTGCTTTTATTGCATCAACATCCCGAAGAAGTTGAGAGACGCACAACAAATTTTATTAGATCACGAAGAAGTCAAGGAGACTCGCTACAATTATCACAAATTCAAATTGACGGCGAAGAGCTTTACTCATAATAGAATGATGTGCCTAAGATCTCTGCAATTAATATGTTTTGGTGGGATGTGGCTGACATGGACTCGAATGGATCTGCTTCTAGTATGAAATTCTTCTCAGCTCGGAAGTAAGAGGCACTATTATGAATACAACACAGATTTGACATTCGGATTAGCCAAACCACACTATAGATGTAGATGATTCAACAACCAGATAAACACAACTTAACCTGATAGGTGTTGGGCATCTTCACCAAGCTACATTGACCAAGACTCAGCTCAAGCTCGATCAACAAGCCTGGCTAAGGTAAGGACGACCCATGACAACTGGACTCATCTCAATTTGGATATCATACCTCACTCTAGCTCGACACAGTCCTATGGTGGTTCGTCTAATTCGAGATGATTGAATCATAGCGTATCCTCAACACTCATGTTAAAAGACGTTAATTGATAACCAATCTCTTTAATTAGTAGCTTCCATAGATGCTTCGTCTATGTACATGTTAGAGGAACCTTCCTCAGCCAATGAGGTTGGGCCATATGAACTTATTTGTAATCCAACTAACTTTCATAACTGCCTTGGCCGTCAGGATGGTGACACATGTACTAATTGATTTGCCCGAATAAATTCTTATAAATATGTTACCCTCTACCCAGGTAAGGGGATCTTTCATGCATCGCCGACCTAAATATGTGAACCCCATTTTAAAACCCTAACCTAATTCCTAGCGTCATTCATCAGAGAGACTTATTAGGCATCAGAGAGGCAATGGTGAATAGTCCACTTTCGTTAATCAGACGCTTTTCTATCTTACTCTGAGACAATCTCATCTACAAAACCATTAGTCAAATAAGATGATCTAGGGACCCTCAATCTCAAGTCCAATCTTGTGAACTCAACACGTTAAATTTTTCCAAGCATAAATAAGGGTTCATTTTGATGATTATGAGAAATCAAAAGTAATAAACGCACAACCAGCTATAATTAATACATCAGCACGCCATATGTATTCTCCTAAGGACCTATCCCATTTTCAAGGCCTACTAGCATTGCTAACCAAATACTTGATAGTAAGTAAACGAATCAAATATATGTTAAATTCTTAATTTATAAACTGAATATTAAAATTATTAGCTGACTGTTAAATGAATATTGAGTCGTGTATAATCAAATAATTTGACAATCAATTAACGAATTATTTGTTAATCAGTTCATTTCCTCTTTAAATTAAGAATTACAGTCCGATCCAAACATGAGGAGACCCATTACACCTATGAATTAAGAAATAGGGAATGCTTTTAAATATAAGTCTTTTGAAATTTTATGATACAAAGGAAGATGAACTGGGGATAGATATCAGCATAACCCAAAGGGATATTACATCTTATTTAATTATAATACCCCAAGTTTTTATTTGACACATTGAAATTTCAAAATTTACACTTTTTTCGAATTTAATACCCCAAATTATTTGCCGACACTTTGATATCCAATATTTTACACATCTTTTATCTTTAATACCCCCAAATTTTACATTTTTTAACTATGATACCCAATAATACATTGGGATATCAGCAGTGGCGGACCCATGCCTGTTCACACTGGTTCAGTTGAACCACCTGACTTATGTAAAGGCTCAGTTTTTGTTACTTCTCTACACTAGTGGATGAATGTAAAGTATGCTACTGATGTTTATCAATATGGAGTAGCATTTGTCTTTAAAACTAGCTACTGCTTGTTTTGTTGCAAACTTGCAATATTATTTATCAATATGAAAGAGTATCATTTTGTCTTTAAAGTTAGCTGCAGATTGTCTTTTTACAGGATTTAGTAGAATTTTTTTTCAGAAGGTGATAGTGTTTGGGAATATTTTGAACCAGCGCCGTTAAGGCTGTAGATCCGCCACTGGATATCAGAGTTAAAAGTGGTGTAAATTTTGGGTATCAAAGTGTTAGAGAAAACATTAGAGTATCAAAATGAAAAAAAAGTATAAACATTGGCATCAGAGTAGCAAAAAGGAGCTTTGGGATATATCAAAGTTAAAAGTGATGTACAAACTTTGGGGTACTGAAGTGCAAATAACCCAATTCCAAAATCTAAAGTGTAGCAAAGCGGATCATGTAAGACAACCGACCCGGATCTACTCCTGCCACGCAGAGGCCCAAAACCAAAACCTCAAGGCCCGACTTTAAAAAAAAAAATTTAGACAGCTTCTCTCTCTCTCTCGCTCGCTCGCTCGCTCTCGCTCATCGCTTTGAAGCCCTCTTCCATCAAATCCACTCGAAACCTCAGCGGCCAATTAGATTGCTTGCTTCAGCTCGCCCTCTCAATTTTTGAACAGCCGTTTTATTAAACAGGTAATTTCAATTATTTCTCAACTTTTTTTTAACTAATATTTTTTATTTTCGCGTTAAGACATGAGATCAGATATGATATTTATTGGATTATGATTTTAGGAGTTCTAATTAGAGATTATTAGACATACCCATCTCACTTTTTCTTATTTTTAGTTTGTTGTTGTCTTCCGATTTTGATCGTTAGAAGAAAATGGGATAATTCTAAATGAGGTTTATGAAGTACATAATTGTTACAGTTTTGTAGAAAATGGATTTAGCTTTCAAATTACTCTAATGTACTGTAGAATTAGTTTCATCCCTCAACAAAAAATGAGATTAGATAGAGGATTTGTGGGATTTAGGATTTTAGGATTTCTAAATAGAGAAAAATAGACATGCCCATCTAACCTTTTCTTATTCTAATTTGTGTTTGTCTTTCAATTTTGATCATTCAAAGAAATGGGGTTGTTTTAAATGAAGCTCGGGAAATAATTTATAATAGGCTATTCTGTAAATCCTTGGAATTGAATTTCTGGTTACGAAAAAGGGCTTTTGAGCAGGTAGCATAAACTGTTCTAATATAGAAGTGTTTCCCATACAAACTACTCATTTTACTGTTGGAATAAGTTCGAATCCTTGAGAAAAAGTCTTTATATTCGTTCAGTCACTGAACCTTTGTCAGTGTTCTTCGGAAGACGAGGACTGAAGAAGTATCTTTTTAGGGTTCAGAACTCCCCCAGATCCTTCATTTTGAATTGACTGACACCATGAAGCACTGATGGTTATATTTTCATTCCGTCATGTTTTGATTTTCAATTAGTTTGAGAATTGTTCGAATACTCTTGATTGTCTTTCTTTTAAATTTGTTCGTGTTATGTTCATTTCTGAAGCTTGTTATCAACCATAGAATCTCCTTTGACAATGATTTAGCTTTTTGCTTTGTCATTTGAATGGAATTAGAGATGAGGTAAAAAATTGCCCCTTCCCTATTGTGTTGTTTGTATATTTCGTCTATAGTGGAATTGAATTTTAAGAATTTTATTATCATTTTGTCGAACTTGAATTATGATTGACATTAGTTCATTTTTTTTTCTCTACTCTCATTTCCCGTTCTTTTTTCAACTTTTATTTAATTTTTAACTACTTTGCTAAAATATGTAATCCAAATTGTATATCCCTGTTCCCCTCCCCTCAAGTAAACGGAAAAGTAAATGGATTTATGGTGAGCATTAGTACTTGCTACTATTTGCAAGGAGGTTTCTTTTTCCTGAGGTTTTCAGAACTACTATGTTGTATACTTTAGTTCCTTTTGACCATTTGCTCATTTAGAGAATTGAACCAGGCTTCCTGTCAATATGTTTTTTGTAGTCGTTCGACACCATAAACCTGACAACCTTTTTAGTTGAATTTACTTTGATTGTAGTTGTTGATTGATTGGAGACAAAATGGCCTTAATTGCTAAATTTTCATGTAAACCCCCTCCCCTCGGCCCCCCTTTTTTTGTGCGCTTTTGAATTGCGCAATGTAGTTTCAGCCTTCATTCTCATATCCAAGTTGATTCAGGTCTTTATAGCCATGGATGGAACCCTAAGCGAAGATGATGGCTTGATAAGAGATAGCCACATGGATCTCAACGATTCCATTACCGACCCTCGAATGGCACTTGCTTTCACTGCCTTGGGGGTTGAGCTCAACACTACTATGATCCCAACTCACCTCCTCCACATGGAGACTGCTGAAGTTGGAGAGCCGACCATTGGCATGGAGTTTGACTCTGACGAGGCGGCGAAGGAATACTATGTAGCCTATGCCACTTGCATAGGTTTCGGTGTTAGAATGAATAAATCTCGTCGATCTAGGAAAGATGATACTGTTATCATGCGACGGTTTGTGTGCACAAGAGAGGGATTCCACTCCAAGAGGGTAATTTATGACGATGGAAAGAAGAAGAGGAAGCGGGGGACAACCAGGGAAGGATGTATGGCCATGATTGAAGTAATTAGAAAAGGACACGGGAAATGGGTGGTTACTAAGCTCATAACCGATCATACTCATATGGTTGCGATCCCATCCAAGGTCCGACCTCGTGTTGACAGATCAATGGTCTCCAGCAATGCATCGTTGCTTCATGGGGAATCAAGTGGGGGATTTAATAATTTAAGGAACTTTAATAGAGGAATCAGGGTCAATCCCTTTGGAGAAGGAGGAGAGGCTCAGGGACTGCTAGAGTACCTTCAAAGGATGCAAGCTGAAAACCCTTCTTTCTTTTATGCTATTCAAGTTGATAACAACAATTGTATGACCAATGTATTTTGGGCTGATGCTAGGTCTAGAATGGCCTACCAGCATTTTGGTGATGCTGTCACATTTGACACAACCTACAAGAAGACTAAATACATGATGCCTTTTGCGACATTCAGGGGGATGAATCATCATTTGCAGTCGGTTACCTTTGGGTGTGCCTTGCTTATGGATGAGACCCGGGGTTCATATGTTTGGCTCTTTGAGACTTGGATTGCAGCAATGGGAGGCCAGCATCCTGTTTCTTTGGTTACTGACAGAGATAAAGCCATGGAAGGAGCTATCCTTAGGGTTTTTACAAATACTCGTCACTTATTTTGTAAACAGCACATATTAAGTAGATCAAAGCAGAAGCTCTCTGATATCTATTTGAAGCATGGTACTTTGAAAAGGGAACTTAAAGAATGCATTAATGGATCTGAGACCATCGAGGACTTCGAGACTCGTTGGGAGTACATTCTTGATAAGTATAATCTTTGGGAGAACCCATGGTTACATTTACTTTATGAAATCCGGGAACGATGGTCCATAGTGTACCACAAAGACATCTTCTTCCCCGAATTGTTAGCATCTCAAAGATCGGAGAGTTTGAACAAGTTTTTCAAGAGGAACTTTAATACAAAGACCTCTCTACTTGTGTTTATATCAAGATTTGATCAAGCCATGTCTTCTCAGTATGAGAAAGAAGCACAAGCTGATTATGCCACAGTATATTCAAAGCCTCTTTTAAGGACCCCTTCGCCTATGGAGAAACAAGCTGCCGATATTTACACGAATGCCGTGTTCGACAAGTTTCAGGAAGAATTCGTTGAATCTTTAGGCTACTATGTTGAGAAAATCGAAGATGGACCTGTTAGCAAGTACAGTGTGGCTAGAGAGGAGGATAATGGTAAGAGCTACATTGTGAGTTTCAGCGATTCTGAAAAGAAAGCAAACTGTAGCTGTTACAAGTTTGAATACTGTGGGATTTTATGTAGACACGTGTTACGGGTCTTTTTTATTGTTGGCGTCCGTATTCTACCAGAACAGTACATATTGAAACGATGGACAAGGAATGCCACAAGCAATGTAGTTCTAGATGAAAGAGTTGTTGATTCTGGACTTAGTTTTCAAGAGTATCTTGTTGCTTGGTATAATGATCTCTGCCTTGATGCGGTTAAATATGGGATGGAGGGGGCTACCTCTGCGGAGGTTTACAAGGTCGCAAAAAATGCGATTCAGAAAGCTTTTGCTGAAGTTGTTGGTGCAAAGAACATGCAAAGAAAGGGACAACAGAATAATCAGAGGTTTGCTAGGATGCAGAAGATGCAATACAAAATGCCTTTACCAAAGTTGCAGCCAAAGAAGACGTCCTCAAGAGTAGTTCAACATGAAGAAGCTGGTAGGAGTAAAAGAAATGCTAAAGAAGACATGCTGTAAGTATTAATAATAATTTGCATTTATTTTTGGTTTTTCTCATAGTAGACCATAAATTCAATCATGCTTTTTTATACAGGCCATTAAATCTTCATAATTTAGTTTACACCCTGACTCCCTTTAAATGTGTTAGCATGATGTATTGGTGTGGTAAATCCTAATTACTGATGTCGAGATATACTGCACTGATTTAACTCTTAGCCTCTTCTCTAAGCTCACTGCACTAATATCTCCTATTCAAATCAATGATTGAATTAGGGAAAGGAGAAGAGAAGAGAAGAGAAATTTGGAGTATATTTTGGTTAAATAGAAGAAAAAGGATGTGAGGGTAGGAATTAAACCACTTTTACACACTAATCAAGGGTATTACGTACACTGCCAGCAGTTGTTAAACTTTAATCTTACGACAATAACAGATTCAAATTCAATGGGATGTAATTTAAACAACCTAAAAATTTTAGGGTGTTAATTAAGAATATGAAAATTTGAGGATCAATATAATTATGATAGAATACAAGGTCTCATATGAAAACCCATTTATTTTCTCGTTCCCATTCAAAATTTAACCATTATGAAGGGGATATAAGTTGAGTTATTTATCATTTTTGTTTTTTCTAATGGTGTTGCAGGGATGCAAATGATCCTGATCTTAATGGAGGTGCTCACTGATGAAAGATGCAGGCCTCTTGTGATGATTGACTACTTCTTATACACAGTCCACGAGGTACAATGTAAATTTATTTTACCTAACATCAAATATTTTACTGTGTATTAAAGGTTCTAGTCCATTTTAAGCTTTGTAAATTTAGTGATGAAGTAAAGCTTATGGATAAAATTATCTCATGTTCAACATTTGTTTGGATTTTATGGCAAGCTTATGCCTATGTTTTCCATTATGTAGTTAATGATTAGAGTCTGAAAGCTGAAATATTCCGTAAGTCCTTGGTACCTTTAATGTTTATGCAGTCTGATAAGTATTTGCACTTGACTTATGACAATGTGGGGTATAGCTTTGTCCAGCGTCTCAAACTGTTGGAGGTCATTTTTCAGTTATAATTTTTTTATTTTCTTTTTTTTTCTTTAGAGAAAGGATGGGGACCCAAAATCGAGAGCCCCAGCCAGCTACCGCAGTAAGCAGATTATACTTTCTCTTAACAACTCTTTTGTTGTACGACCTCAAGAACAATATCAAGTTACGGCTTTCATGATCATTATTTTCTTTGGGTGTAAATACATATGTGAATAATGACATGAAGTATGAGGCCATCATTATTGAAAAGTTGTGCACATGTTCAAACTTCACTTTTCTTCTACAAGTTAACAGTGACGAATTTGTCGAGAGCACTTCCTCACAGGTTGATTGTGTATTCCTTACTATACTATTAATTACATTTTGAACTATTGAGGAAAACATATATTACAGCTCAGGTGAAAATGAGGAAAATAGTATCTTACACCCTGTGGGAAAGTGGATAATCCTGCATGAGACATAAACTAGTGAGGTCTCTGGGATATATTAGATCCTGTGTAGTTAAGTATTTATCTTGATTTTGGCAGGTATCATATATCGAGGACATTTTAAGCCACACCTCATATGAGACTATTAGATTGGGGTGTAATAATCTCTCTCTCCCCCCCACATTTTAAGGTATGAGTTCTCAAATACTTCACTAGGTTATCATTATATACCAAGGGTTCATGAGTTCATAAAAATTATTATATGCCAAAATCTCTTCCTGTACACACTCCATTCAACTTGGTATTTGAATTCTTGAGTAGCGTCTTTGGAGAACCAGGGCCATTTCGAGATTCCATAAGATACTTGATCATTGTAGATTGGTTATGACATGTCATTTAGTTAACACTTCAACTCAAAATATTTATCTATTTAAACCTGGTTAGCTATCCTCACTCTACAAATTACAGCAAGTGCATCCTAGCATACATGTATACTGTTGGTGGAAAGGGTTACATTCACAAACCCCTTTGAACATTGAGGGATTTTTGCACCTAACCCTCTTGAACTTCTTTTATGTCACATAAACCATTTGAACTTTGGATGTCTTGCGAAATTCCCATGAACTTTGAACTCTTCTCACCTGATCTCTTACCTTTATAATTGGTAAAAATAAAACAAAATTTGAAATCCGGGCCCTTTTTTTGTTTTTGTTTTTTTTTTGGGGTGGGTTGGGGGGTGCCTGTAAAATGACAACATTTGATAGTTTTTTCCCCCTCAAGGACATTTGTTTGGTTACTTACCAATTACAGATAGGCGGCCAATGAAATAAGTTTAAAGTTCAAGGGGGTTTGTTGAAATAGTGCAAAGTTCAGGGTGATTATGTGCAAAATCTCTAAGGATCAGGGGATTTTGTGAAACTTGCCCTAATGGAAAAGCAACCTAGCCCCTTCTCTTCCTTCCTCGCGCCTCTCCCCTCTTTCATTCTCCATATGTACAGTGGTTCCTCCAGCATTAAGGCATGAGTCATATTTTAAAGCCTGTGGTACGTATTATTTTGAGAATCTGTTAGCAACAATTTTACTTGTGTACATATATTAAGTCACATGTAATACTGACATAAGTAACGTAAACGAGGAATTTCGTTGGTTCGATCTGTGTGATGCCTTGAAGCACTGGGGTGTTTAATGTGAGAAATGTATTTTACATTGTGCTCATTGTTATGTTCTCTTGGGCTCAATATAGAATCTATTGAGATAGTGCTGCAGTGAGCCCTATGTTGTAATGTTGTTTTTTTTTGGCAGAGTGAGGCTTATTTTTTTTTTTTCAATTATTTGCTCCGGATGGGGCTTGTTATGGACTTTGTATTATTGACGGTATGGGTTGACGTGCAGATTGTTTTACCTCAGATATCCTCTAATTATTTTATTGGCAATTACACCCTCTGAACTTGAACTATTTTATTGTGCTGGAGCATTTCTCCGTTCTTGTCCGGTTGGAAGTAACTTTCATCTCCCAGTACAATGTAAACTTGGGACTGAATTTACGTAAGGGGTAGCGTAAGGGGTAGAATGCTTATGCACAGAAACTTTAATGCAGTGTGTTGAGGACTATAATTTTATTGTCCAACATGTTTACAATGTTGAGATTTCAACTATTCTATGCATTAATATCATTTTTTTTAATAATATATGTTAGACCTGTAGAAGGTGGGATTTGGATTTGGATTGCTTTGTTATCTTCTCAAAGCTCAATTTGCTGTATGAAAGCTTTGTGCTATGTTTGGGAGTTCACTAAGGGAAGGAAAGGGAAGGAAAGGAAAGGTAAGATAGCGAAAGGAATGGCAAAGAAAGGGAGGGAAAATATAATATCTTGCTTGGAAGTTTTGTAAGGCGAATGAAATGTGAACTTAAATTATTTTGTTTGAAAGTTCTAATAAAAATATCACCCGCTTTCGAAACCGGGGATGCGCAAGGGAGGGAGAATTGAGAGAAAATCTCGTCGTCTTAAAGAGTCGTTTAAACTGGGCCTCAACGAAAATAGGCCTAAGTTCAAATTTCGTATCTGGAGTTCGTACTTGTTAGGATACGGTATAGTAACTTAAATATTTATATCTAGTAAGACATTATTATGGATACAGATATGTTGTGAAATATTTATATTCATACCTGAAATATCCATATATATATATTTTGTAATTATTCTAATTGCTTAGATTAATGGATTTGATCTTACATTTGCAGATGTAACTAACATATTAATGAACTCAGTTTCTCTTATAACAAATAAAGAGGGAAAAAAATATTCCTTCAAAGTAACAAGGGTCATCTACAATTTTTTTAATTAATCCGAATAGACTCATAAACAAATCAGAGGTTATGCTAAGACATGGGGACTAGGGATGCAAATGGTTCGTATACGACTTGAATACGATACTTGTCGTACCCGTATAAGCTTATCAGGTATGGATACAAACATGAATACAAATATACTTTAGTAAGTATAACTCATATCCATAATCGCTGAAATTAGATACAAGATACAAATATAGATGCAAATGCAAGCACAACTACAAAATGTATATGAGAAAACCAAAATGGATATGATAAAACCAGATGATATTAAAAAAAATTCATATGTTATAAGCACTACATATTTGTATCCATAATAATGTCTTACTAGATATGAATATTTAAGTTACTATACCGTATCCTAACAAGTACGAACTCCAGATACGAAATTTGAACTTAGGCCTATTTTCGATGGGGCCCAGTTTAAACGACTCTTTAAGACGACAAGATTTTCTCTCTATTCTCCCTCCCTCACGCTTCCCCGATTTCGAAAGCGGATGATATTTTTATTAAAATTCTGGACTAGATCTGGCCCTATTTTTTGTGCCCACATAGTTTCACTAAACTAGTTTTATTTTGGAATAGGAGGATCTGCTCCAAAACAAAACTAGTTTAGCACCAAACTGGCCGGGACTAGTCATGTCCCAGTTTTGCTTCGTTTGCCAAACTGACTTTAAGGGTGTGCCATGACAATAAATCGAAAACTAGGCTAGGAACAACCCTTGAAAGGCTCTAGAGGAGGAGGGAGGGAGGGAGGGAAGGGGGAGGGGGTGGTGAATAGGGTTAAAGGATAAAGAATATGCAATTAAAAGATTTTCCAATAAACCACAAACGATTATGAAGAGCAATAACAATAAAAGAGAGTAAGGGTTAGAAATAGTTAGTCAATTGATGACGCGCGGTATGTTCACGGGGTTCGGTCCTCTGACCTACGTCCCCGCTCCCTACTCTCGAGGAGAAATCCACTAACACACCCGGTTTGAAAGCTGGAACTTCTCTACACAACGATCTCCACCGAGATCTCATAACCACACAGTAGATCTCCACGAGATCAAGCTCATAATGTTAGACCTTAGGGGGGTGATTAGGGTCTTATGCTAATCTAATCCGATTATATACCAATTAAAATTAATTAACAAGATATCCTAGCAAGTATGAAATACAATCAATATATATGAGCTAGGATGAGCAATATGAACTAAGGGGTATATCCTAGCAATGGGATATACTTATGAATTATATGTAAAGATATACAAACTAACACAAGGGTGAAATAAAACAATCTACCAAAGTGATAGGGCAATATGAAGTGCAATACACAAAGGCAATATAAGATATGAATACAAGAATAAGAACACCAATGCAAACACAAACAAAATGATATGATTACGGAGTTCGGTCTAACCACTTGACCTACGTATCCGCTCCTCACCTCGAGGAGATCTCCACTAACACAACCGGATTTTCTACGTTCACCCGAATAACGTTTACACCACACAATACGGTTTTCTAGTTTACCGAAAACTCTACAATCAACACTCTTGCAATCCCACTCTACACCCTCTCAAGTGTTGAACTAGACGTGTCTTCCTCAAGTGCTCGGTTACAACCTCTCTCTAGGTTCGTCGATTCGACCCCGTCTCTCACCACACACTTCTCTCGGTGTACAAGTGTATTACAAGTGAATCCTCACAATTAGGCTCAATACAAAGTGTTTGTTCTCTACAATGAATGAGAACGAATTATAAGCTCACTCTCTAAGTTACACAATCCCACAACCCAATTATACTATGAATGTAAATACAATAAGCTCAAATGGTTGTGTGTATAAACATAGAGAAAATAAAATCAACTAAACTCAATATGAATACTAGCTTAATAAAATGATAATCAAACAATATGAAATATAAAGCTAGATTGAGTTTAGAAAACTTCTCAATAGATGACAAGAGATGGAGGGAGAATAGTTGATTGCTCAAACTCCAATAGATGATCTCCTCAAGTTCTTGTGGAATTGAATTCTCAAACTCAAACACCTAATTGCTTAAAAGCTTCTAAACAAACATTAAACAAACTTAAACCCTTGTTTAAAACTCTTTAAACTTGTTTAAAACATTTCTTAAGTGCCCGTAGAAGTATGAGGGCATGGAGTATATATAGGCTCATGAAACAAGCCCAAAAACCTAAGAAAACCAAGCACAAAGACAAAATAACGGATATATCAAAATCTGAAAAATATAGCCGTTATGCTACAGTAACTTCCAGAAAGTTTGGCGGTCGACCGTGGCGGTCGACCGCGGGTACTGTAGCACTGCATATCAACTTTGTAAAATCAGTTAAAAATAGTAAAACAGTTCCAAAAATTATGGAATTTTGTGGGAAGGTTCTAGACATGTTGAGTGACATGTTAGAGAAAGAATTTATGAAAAAGCATTTCCCACTTGAGAGAAATAAATGTTTGAATACAGATATACAGTTTCTAAAAACTTCTGACATACACGATTTTGTAAAATCAATTGGGCTCAGTAAATCAACTCCAAAAATAGTAAAATTTTGAGGGAAGTTTCTAAACATATAGATAAACATGTCAAAGAAAGAATTTCTTAAATACCACTTCCCATTTATGAAAACTCATCTGTTTTGTAAAACATGCACGAACATGTGCCCGAACAAAAACATGATTTTGTAAATTCCATTAAATATAACAAATCAATTCCAAACTTGATGAAACATTGCGAAATGTTTGTAAACATGAAAACAAACATGTTAGAAAAAGAATTTCTCAAATTGAATTTCTATTTGTGAAAACTCATGTATTTTGCAAGTGTGTCCAAAGCATGAAAACCCAAAACCATGCATGTATATATATAACTATATATATACATAGAAACCAAATACGTGTGTGTATATGATATTGAGCTTAAGGTATTTAACACACATAATATAAAACCTAAACTAAGTTACCCAAGCTAGATCTTGATCATCAATAAGCTCTTCTTGGTAAACTCACGGATGAAGCTTGAACTTGATCTTTAACTTTGAATTGCAAGGCTTCACCTATATTCCGCCAACCTCCTTTGGATATGATCGTTGAAGCTCTATTCCATCCATCCTCCAACTCGTTGTTTGGATATGATCGTTGAAGCTCTATTCCATCCATCCTCCAACTCGTTGTTTGCCTAGAATAAATACGAAAATACAAACACTAGACAAACAACATTAGAAGTAAATTGTTTGTTAAACATCATCAAAACAAGAAGGCCAACACATAACAGTTACAAATGGAAGAAAAACTCTCTCTTACAGCAACCCTATGGCAAGAGGAAGAGATTGCAAGTGAAGCTTGGGATGTGAGACTTGAAAATAAATGAAAGTTGAAGCTCTTTTGAACAAGAAATACAAACTCAATAGATTTTTCAATGATTTCTTAGTTTTTGAAGTTAATGGGGTTGATGGGTATTTATAAGAAGTGAAGATGACAGCCAAGCCTTAAAGAAACAGACAAAATCCCCCAAAAACCGAGAAACATGATTCTGCACAGAACTAGCCGTTGGAGGCTTATCAATCGATTGACGGATTTCATCAGTCGACTGATGAGCTGACCTTTATAGGCAATTTTCAACTTGTCAGTCGACTGACAGGATCATTAGTCGACTAATGAGATTATCAGTCGAATGGTCAGTCGACCAAAAAAGAAGCAGAAACTTTTGGTAATTCTGGTATGTTTCATCAGTCGACTGATCTCATGTATTAGTCGACTGATGAGATAATCAGTCGACTGGTCAGTTGACCAAATAAGAAATAAAAACTTTTAAGATTCTGGCGGGTTTCATCAGCCGACTGATCTCAAGCATCAGTCGACCGATAACAGTTTTTCAGCCAGTATAGGTTTTAAAAATGAGTTTCAAATGTCTTTTAAAGCATCAGTCGACCGATAACAGTTTTTCAGCCAGTATAGGTTTTAAAAATGAGTT